ATGAGAAGTTTAAATTTGAGGAATATAAACATTGTATAGCAGGAGGAAGGAACAATGGATATTAGATCTAAAGAGAACATTACTCTGTTTTTTATTCAGGCAACAGTCCTGCTACCTTTCCTTCTATCACACTATATCTACTTACAATCGGCTATAGGTTATTTGACCATCAGGATCCAAGAACAACAAGCTTCGAATTTCCTCGTCCAGATCACCAAGATTTGATTGTCGACCATTATGACAGAAGGGGTCTGGTGTCCAGACTCTTTTAATGGCGGATCCTTTAAGAGTTACAGTTTTGTTGACTTTTCCAGTAAGCCGTTCGTCCTTCCAGTGTTGTCGGAAATACATGAAAACACTATATTCCTGCAAATTTATAAAATGAACTTCGTTGAATTGACAGGTATCAGTCGTCAAAAGGTTTAGGCCCTGTTTACATGAAGATAGGGTCGCCCTACCAGGAGGGTGAACCCTACTCTATTGATTTCGCGTGTTTTGTTTACATGCCAGGAAAGGTCACTCTAGGGGTATGGTCACCACATTTAATTGGTAGGGTGATCCTCCGAGGAGGGCCAGCGTTTCACCATGTAAACGCTCGAGTAGAGTGACCCTGGGAGAGGATTATCTGGAAATGTGTCAAATGACGTCAAACTTACATCATTTCGCGCTCAAAATCTTTACTCGCCAAGAGATACAAATATCAAAATGGCGTCCCATGCGTATCAAGCTGGAGAATATTTCCAAAGATTTCAAGCAAAGAATATTGCAAATAAGCAGCAAAACGAGGTCTATGATTCATTGCMGATAGAACAGTAGCAGCTTTTCAATGGTAAAGAATCCCGCGCTCTGAACTCCGTAATGTTCACGGAAATACAATTTATATACATGATTTTGCATACATGAAATTCACACAAAATTGTATAGTAATGTAAATTTGCTGTATCACTAGATAGATCTCCATAAGATTTGCATACAATTTACAGAAAATTTCCATAGTTTTTACAGTTGTGTAAATATATAGCTAACATGACTGACGTGAAMTTGTTGCCGAGTGTTGACAATCAACTTTGTGCAGTACACTGGAAAAAAAATCGCGCGCTTTAAAGGTTGTAAGTTTGATGTAAATATTATGTAAGTGTCCAAAATGATGTAAATTTGATGTAAATTTACATCAAATTTAAGCATCAAATTTACATCAAATTTACATCATTTTGGACACTTACATAATATTTACATCAAATTTACAACCTTTTACAGTAACGATTTTTTCCAGTGAGTTAATGCGGTATATAGTCTACATACCATGCTTGTCTCCTCGATGTTAGCAAAAGACGAGACGAAGATACTGACGGCAACTTCAACTGGTAATCCTGACAATTGCACAACCATAGGGGGGTAGTAAGAGTCTGATAAATGTATATCCTTAGTGGGAACTACTRGTGATTGATTTGGTCTGACAAATCAATATCCACACAGGGGTGGGGTGAGTGATTTGACTTTCCAAAGTGGGCATCCCCATAAGGGTAGGGTAACAAGTGTTCGAGTTAAATGCACAGCCAACCATATGGAAAGTTCTAGAGGATAGACCTAACAACAAGCTTCGACAACCACTTGATTATGTTCAAGTTAAAGTGCCTATGACGCCTGACACAATAATTTYTGATTGTCTGTGATCGAGCTGATAATATATAAAGTAAATAATTGAATGCTGAAATATTCCCACATTTCAGTGGCGCGCGTCTTTGAGTTATGAAAGTTCAATCTTACAATATGTTAATGAAAATGCTTTCATTGGAACTTTGAAGGAGTCGCTTAAAAATGGTTTCATGACATTAAATTTATAGTAGGTAATGCAGGGAATAACCATATTTCCAGATGGCGCCCATGCATACTACTAAAATATATAGAATCAGTTGGCCTTGGTGGGCTCAAGTTAGGTTGGTTCCAAACTAACACACCCGTCAAAAATACCTTTTTCATCTAAGCAATATCAAGTCTTACCGCTTTGATTAGGTCTTATTTCACTGTCGTAGCCAGTCAACATTTTCGCTGTTAGTGATTGAACGCTGAAAAATAAAACAGTAGAATACTAAATACTCATTTCACTAAGGGACTGCGCAATATTTATCA